TTGGGAAGGGTTCTTGTTGATGAACCCGAGGCCGGTCTTGGTTCTGATTACCCTGAGCTGGTCCCTGATGGACCTGACCGTGTGGAACCTGATTTATGTTCCCATTAGCTCCAATACCAACTCCTTGACCGTGAGCAGCTTCTTGAGCCTGGTGCTCAATCCCAGCGTGCTGATCCATTCCCAATCTCTCCAAATGAGCAGCTCTTTCTCTTTGTCTTCTAAGTTGACCTCTTGTGATCATACACCTGAAAACAAAGACAGAACTTGAAAGGGAATCAGTAAAACAAACTAAACTTGATCTCAAAAACTATATCAGAAACTAATGCTAACTAGCCCCACACAATATGGCAACGGCGCCAATTCATAAGTAAGAGTTTTCAAGCTCTTAGAAGGGTTATCAATCCCCTTGTCAAAGTAGTATAAGGGGTGTCAATCCATATGTGTGGTAGTTAGGCACTAGTTTATAAGATAAGTTCTTAAGTCAAGCTAATCAAAGACAGGTTTGGTGACAAGTAACAAGTGAAAATATAAACAAGAAACAAACAAGCAATGATAAGGAAGTAAACAAAGCTAGCTAAACAAGATGATGATGATTAAACAAATGATAAGAGCTAAACCTCTAGATGTGATCATTGATTAGGGTGCTTTAGAGATTTATTCATGATGCTAAGAACAATAATGCAATGCAAGTTACTCTTTAGTCTAGACTTCAAAAGCAGATTAATTCATTCCCATGACAATAATCTCTTTGTAAATCACTTAATCAAGATTAATTCACCTTAAGCAAGATCAAGCAATCAACAAGCATAAAGTATCAAGTCTAATAATGACCAAACGGTTTCTATTTCAAAGAGACCGAATCTTACACAGAAAGCAGCAACAAGCAATCACATGATCTCAAAACCAATTAACTTAGAACTCAAATCTAGACTAATCCTCTCATGAAGGCATTAATCTTTACACTAATCCACTTTCAAACCAAATCATCATTTGTGAAATATGAATCAGTGAGCATTAAGAAACAGTTTTAATATGTCATTCATGCATTTAACAAATCATTCCCATGATGAAAAAGGCATAAACCCTTAGCTTAGCTCATTCAGACATTTCATCAAACACTTTGTGGGTGGAGAAATGACTAAGGTCTAGATCAGAGTGATGTGCAAAGATCTAGCATTAAGAGCAGCTAACTAAGGAAAGGAAATGAAAATCTAGAACCTAAACATCATAAACCGATCATCTAAGCACCCTAATCTACACACCTAGAAGCTTAAAAGATAACTACTCACTAATTATGATTAACACACCATTTCCTTTGCAAGAGGTAGTGTTAATCATGATTAGAAGCAGAGATGAGATGATTAGATGATAAGAAACAGCTTTAAGATGATTAAACCTGCTAGATATCTCTTGATCAAACCCGTTTTTACACTAAGAAGCAGAGAGAAAACAAAAAGAGAATAGATTAGAAGATAAGGTAAAGCATAACTAGGGTTTTAGTCTCTAAAAACTATTTATATAAAAGAGTGTGGGCCGGGTCAGCCCAGGACAAACTGGGTACTGACCCGCCCTTTCTGGATTGCTGGAGCCACCCCTCGCCATCTGAAGAAGTCTCACACCGAGGGCCATACACCAGGGGGTCATGTGCTGGGTTGAAACTTTGATGAGCACTTGAAGAACATGCATGAGACTTGGCCTTTGATCCGGTTAAAGCTTTGAAACGTGAAGAGGATTTGTTTGTGATCTGGGTTAGAGAGATGAGGACCTTGGCATAACATGCCGAGGGGCTTGGTACCCGAGGTTTGTGAAACATAGGACCTCGGCATAACATGCTGAAGGGTTCACACCAAGGTCTGCTTCAACACTTAGTCGTTTTGGGATCATTTTGGTGATCAAGGGAGCCTTGGTGTTGAAAGACCGAAGTCCTACCTCGAGGTATAGTCCCAAGGCGTCGTAAACATGCCTCATCGGCATACATGCCGAGGTATTCACGCCGAGGTAGGACACAACACTTAGCTTACAGTCGCATCTCTTAAAACCCGAATTGACCAGCTTCTCTTCTGTTCAGTGTAACTTTCAGCTCATAACTCCAAATGACCTGAAACCAGTTCCATAAGAAAGATAACTCATTCAACTCAATCTTTGGTAAAAAAACTATCGGCGTTTGGGAAGTGGAAGGCTTCCTGGAGGGCTCATCTTCGCAGTGCATTTACAGGATCAGAGAGAGGCGTCTAGACATGTGTCTATTCCGGAGACCGTATTTTCCTGCTCATAGCTCCGAATTGAATGATCTTGCACGTTATAAAAAGAGGACTCAAATATCTCTGATTCTTATGAAGGCCTCGGAAACCGAATCGGCCTGGAAGTGCGCCGTCCTTCGCATTCTTAGGAGCTCATCGGGTCGGTCCAAGACGGCAGCGAGACAGGGGTTTCTTCCGACGAGTTCAACTTTCTGCTCACGCGTCCGAATTCTATTATTCCACTTGCTATGCAACCATGATCTAATCGTCTCCAACTTTGATGAAGCCTCCGACAGCTGAATCGGACCGGAAGGTTCCCCGGACAGGCGATCATTCAGGAGTATCGGGTTGCTCAGGAATGGATGCGAGAGAGGTCTGTCTTCCGATTACCATATCTTTCGGCTCCGTGGTCCAAATGCTTTGTTTCCAACTGTTCTGAACTGTTGACTCAATTATCTCCAACTTTTATGAAGACTCCGACAGCTGAATCGGCCGGAAAGATCTTCCGGTGACGCGATTTCGGAGATGTATCTGCACCCGGGATTTTTGGCCGAGAGACTTGACCGCGGCACATGTTTTTGGTCGAGAAAGCTACCTGCGGGAAAGATTTTGGCCGAGGATCTTCGACCTTCAGTACAGCATTTTGCCGAGAAACCCAAAATTGCTCATTTTCACCATTTTTGATCATTCCAACTCCATTTCTTCATCTGAATCACATTCTCCCCTCCAAATTGGCTCCAAAAGCACCTGTTTAACACTCCAAAACATGCAAAACTCTCTTGGACCTAATGTAATCTCCTAAGTTCTAAAACAATGCCTAAAGACCTAAAATGCATGAGGTAAGACATGATTTGGACTAAAAATATGTACACTAAATGATGCAATTTATGAATATATCACATCTTCAATAGAGTATGAATTAATTGTGTAGCTATGTGGAGGATGCATGTGTTTCAAGAACTCTAGTAGCGCTCATGCGACATAGGAACCGATCGCCATCAAATAGCTATGAGGAATTGATGTAGATAATTAATTGATTATCAAAGCAATTGATTTTAACGAATATTTCTGAAGAAGTTTTGAAATGAGCTAAACACATCGGATTGAACCATCACGGAAGAAAACTTGAAAGAAAGAAAGGGAAGTATTAATACATACACATGTTGTTGTTCTTTTTTTTGGTAGTGACACATGTTGTTGTTCTTACAAACGAGTAGAAACTAGTAACTATATTATAAATAGTAAATACTAATCAAGGTTACTGTATAAAATTCAATGCATTTGATATGATTGGATCCGTTGGCCCAAGACATACATCAAGATCCAAAGATAGCCCATTTTGGACCAAACCATCTCCCTCTCAATATGTTCAAAATTTTCTTATCCCCTCTTTACGTATGTACGTCAGTACGTGTTTGGTAATTACGTTAGTTATTTTCAAAAACAGCTTTTAAATATTTCTTAACAAAAAATGAATTTGCTTTCTTTTCTCACATCAACTTTGAGGCTTATTTCTTTTCAATTGTTCCGTCCACAAACAAAATCTATGATCATGATCGTTTGACCGACGCATTACGCGTGAGACGTATGTGAAGCTTACATTCTATATTTTACGCGTGTGATTAGAGTAGTCGTCGTCATATACTTTTAATAATGCACATATGATTTGTTGGCAACTATTTAGATCAATAATCTTAACTTGTTTTACATTAATTGCGTGCGGACACGAACATTTGTTTGTTTTATATTTTATTCTGCTAATGGATTATGTTTGTTAGTTTGTAACTTGAGTGAATTCGATGCCAATAATATCTTGTATTTTCTATTTTTTTTATTATTTTTTTTTTGTTTCATGCTAAAATATTATTATGCATCTTGTTACTTTACAAGAATACTACACGAAAATTCTTTCTTCTGTGTGGTTTTCCATTTGTACATAAAAACTCATTACTGTAACGCCAACATCTCATGTCCATGAAACAAAATTATAAGGTAGATATGATTTCATCTGTATCCAAGTAATTTAGTATGTCTTGAATTTCGATACTATACATTAATAACTCATAAAATTAATAATCCAAAAGTTTATCTTTTAATCAATTTGACATTAATTTATAATTTTATGAGAATCTAACACCTGATAAAATTATAATTAATTAGATGATTGTAGCATGTGTTACTTAGTGAGATTTTGCCATTTTTCTAATATTATTTACTTTTTCTGTTTCACGAAAGAGTCGTTTTACAGAAATTAATTGTTTTCTATTTCAAGTGCAGATTTTTAATTTTTAATTTAAAACCTAATAGTTACCTTATTAATTAGAGAAATAAACTTAGCTAATACTGTATATATTAATAAAAGGTACAATAGAGTTTTAAATATATTTTTTTCAAATATGTTAGAAAATGGTAGAATAACAAAAGTTTTGTGAAACAAAAAGAATATTTCTAAATTTCATATTTCAGAAGGTTTAGAAAATTAGAGTTACTTTTGTTTTCAATGTTGAATTAGTAGCTATATTTGAAACAGACATCGACTTGTTGAAAAGTAAAATAAAAAGTTTCAAATGAAGAAAATGCCGAGGATAATTTGTTCGGTGAATTGATTGATTTTCTCTTTCTAGGTGGAGATATGGAAACAATTTCAGTTGACTTGACCTTAAAAAACTTCTCTCTCTCCTCTCTCTTCCTCAAATCCTTGCACCACAACAAATTAAATATACAGACTCGGTCTTCTCTTTCCTCTCTCAATGCCATGGTAACAAATCAACCACTAGTCAGAGAAGTGAAAACAAAAAGAAAAGAAATTTCGTCGAATTGGAGAAAAAAGAAAGCTTTTTTACTATTTTTTCTCTTTTGTCAACTCATTCACACCCAATTTTAAACGGTACTGGTCCGATCTCTATCCATCCCCTTTCATCCTTATTGTATCTTTTCTTGTAAAGTACTCTCTTCTCGCTTCACACGCCATTTTTTTTTTCTTTCTCCCTCCCTGACTTCGGTAAACTCCTGGAAAGAAGGTGTATGATTGTTTACACAGATACTTGTATATAACTGAAAAAGAGGCAAAAAAGGGTTTGGCTTTTAATTTCGTTTGTCGGTATGGGGCTTTGTTGGTCTTCTTCATCTGATTCTCCTTCAACAACAACACCTAGCTCTACTGGTAACATCAGTTCAGGTTCGTCTTTTCAAGTCTCTCCCTATTTTTGTGAGTAAGCTAATCAATTTCCCATATGGGTTTTAGTTAAACTTGTGTAACACGTCGGGATTCATCTGCAAAACCAGTGTTAGTTTAGTACGATGCAGAAATGTTACGCCTTTACATCTCTGCGTGTGGTTTAGCCTTGGTTAAACGATGGAGCCTTTTGCTGATTTGCTTTAGACTCTTCTTTTGGTGTTATCTCATATGGGTTTTACTAAAAGTTTCCTCCTTTGGTTAACAATCTCGTTCTCTTGTTGTTGTTTAATCAAGTTTAAGTTCCATTAATGTTGTTTCTCTTGTTTCTGATATGTTATGCGATTGAATGTTTTGGGGCTTGATTTTGTTCTTGAATGGTTCTAATTGAAGCAGGTCCGTTTAAGTCAACGACTACGGGAACATCAAGAAGTAACATATCTAGCAATAGTGGATTCTCTGCGGGAAGTGGCGAAGATGCTTACCCTGAGGGTCAGATACTTCCCATTCCGAATCTGAGGATATTCAGCCTCGCGGAACTTAGAGCTTCAACGAGGAATTTCAAGTCTGAGAATGTTCTTGGAGAGGGAGGATTTGGTAAAGTCTTCAAAGGCTGGCTTGAAGAAAAGGGGCCAGGGAATCACGTCACTGGAACTGTGATTGCTGTCAAGAAACTCAACTCTGAAAGCTTCCAAGGATTTGAGGAATGGCAAGTGAGTACTGAGTAGGGTCTTAACTTATCAAATGGTAAAGTAGTTATCTCTGATATGCAATAGTGAGTTTTGTTTGTTTACTGGAATGGTTTCTTTCTTGATTTTTGTGCAGTGTGAGGTGAATTTTCTTGGGAGGGTTTCTCATCCCAACCTCGTGAAGCTGTTGGGATACTGCTTGGAAGGTGATGATTTGCTTCTGGTGTATGAGTATATGCAGAAAGGAAGCTTAGAGAATCATCTCTTCCGAAGTAAGAACCTTCTTTTGTTTATGTACACAAGTCATTTCAGATGTTATGATCGGATGATTAATTGCTCTATCTGCTTCTATTTCCTCCAGAGGGTTCTGTTGTTCAGCCGCTCTCATGGGAAATAAGGCTAAGGATCGCAATAGGAGCAGCTAAAGGCTTAGCGTTTCTGCACGCTTCAGAGAAGCAAGTGATTTATAGAGACTTCAAAGCTTCAAACATTCTTCTTGATGGGGTAAGTAAACACAAATGGCTTATGAATTTGATCTAGCAAATTATCAAGCGTGTAACTTAACAACGGTGTTTGCTTGCTCTTTATGCAGTCATATAACGCAAAGTTATCAGACTTTGGATTGGCGAAATTAGGTCCTTCCGCTAGTCAATCTCACATCACAACACGGGTTATGGGTACACAAGGTTATGCAGCTCCAGAGTATGTTGCTACAGGTACTATATACAATACAAATCTCTTTATCTTCTTGGCTCCTTTTGGTTTCCGAGGACAAACTTTGAACATGTATTGGTTTTGTTTCTAACAGGTCATTTGTATGTAAAGAGTGATAATTTCGGGTTTGGCGTAGTTTTAGCTGAGATCTTGACTGGTCTACGTGCTCTTGATCCTACACGTCCTACCGGGCAACACAATCTAACCGAATGGGTCAAGCCTCATCTATCAGAAAGAAGAAAGCTTAGGAGCATAATGGATCCTCGTCTAGAAGGAAAGTACCCTTTCAAATCCGCTTTCCGAGTTGCTCAACTAGCTCTGAAATGCCTTGAACCCGAACCCAAGAACCGTCCATCGATGAAAGAAGTGGTGGAATCTCTCGAACTCATTGTAGCTGCCAATGAGAAACCGTTGGAGCGTAGGTCCACTAGAGCTTCCATAAACGTAGGTCATCAACAAGGCCATTTTCGCCGGCAACATCTTTCTTCATTTCAACCTAGGCAAACAGCTGCTAGAGCTCACTAGTGTTGTTGTTTTGAACACTCAAGATTCTTTTTCTTCTCTCTCTCTCTGGTTTTGTATTCGTTAATGAGGAAACTATTCGCATGTATACTACATGGAAACCAAAAGACAAGACAAGGTTGTAACTAGTAATGTGTAGTGTTTTGCTGTGTGTATTGTAATTGCCTAAATAGTTAAATGAGATCAAGAAAGTTTAAAACTCATAGATAAGTCATATTATTCAATTGTGGTTTGGACTATTTTTATAGAAATGAGCTTGCTTTCATAAGTTTCAAAGAAATGGGATCACACTTGTGCTCAAAGCTACAAGCTTTGTCCTCAAAGATTAAACAAGCTTCCTCCAATGGAAAATGGCGGGAAGTGGTCTCTGGGTATTCAGAGATACAGAGAGCTGGGATTCAATTTAAGGATCCTTTCGTTTTCCCCATCGTTTTTAAAGCTTGTGCTAAGCTCTCATGGCTGTCACAGGGTAGATGCATCCACGCGAGTCTGTTCAAAAGAGAGTTTGAATCTTTTGTTTCCGTCGGGAACTCGATTGCTGATTTCTACATGAAATGCGGAGACTTGAATTCCGCGATGCGAGTATTCGATTGCATGAATTCGAGAGATTCGGTCTCTTGGAACGTAATCGTTTTCGGGCTTCTCGATCATGGTTTCGAAGAAGAAGGGCTATGGTGGTTTTCAAAGTCAAGAATTTTGGGTTTTGAGCCTAATGTTTCGACATTGGTTCTTGTGATTCACGCGTTTCGTAGTTTACGATCGTTCGTCGATGGAGAGAAGATTCACAGCTACGTGATTCGTAGTGGGTTCTGGGGGATTTCGTCTGTTCAAAACTCGATCTTGTGCATCTACTCAGAACGTGATTCGTCAAGCACACGCAAGCTGTTCGACGAAATGTCTGAAAGAGATGTTATTTCATGGAGTGTGGTAATCCGAAGCTATGTGCAAAGCCAAGAGCCTGTTTTGGGATTGAAGTTGTTCCGAGAGATGGTTCGTGAGGCGAAAACAGAGCCTGATTGTGTAACCGTTACAAGTGTTCTCAAGGCCTGTGCGGTAATGGAGGATATCGATATGGGAAGATCAGTTCATGGATTTTCTATACGTAAAGGCTTTGATTTGGGAGATGTATTTGTACGTAACTCACTCATCGATATGTATTCAAAAGGATTCGATGTTGATTCAGCATTTAGAGTGTTTGATGAGACGACTTGTCGAAACATGGTTTCATGGAATTCGATTTTGGCTGGCTTTGTACACAACCAAAGGTACGAAGAGGCTCTTAAGATGTTTGATTTGATGAGAAAAGAGGCGATTGAAGCAGATGAAGTTACGCTCGTGAGTCTTCTTCAGGTTTGTAAGTTCTTTGAGCAGCCATTGCCCTGCAAGTCAATACATTGCGTGATAATCCGACATGGTTACGAATCAAACGAAGTGGCCTTGAGTTCTTTGATTGATGCATATACAAGCTGCAGTCTTGTTGACGATGCAAGAACCGTGTTTGGTTCGATGACGTACAAGGATGTAGTGTCTAGTAGCACAATGATCTCTGGATTAGCCCGCTTTGGAAGATCCAATGAAGCGATCTCAATCTTTTGTCAGATAAAGGATAAGCTCAATGCAATCACCGTCATAAATCTACTTGACGCATGCTCTGTTTCAGCAGACTTGAGAAAATCAAAATGGGCACATGGAATTGCTATCCGGAGAGGCTTAGCCACGACTCACATCTCAGTTGATACCTCTATCGTTGACGCATACGCAAAATGTGGAGCCGTGGAAATCGCGAGGAGGACATTCGATCAAATTCCTAGTAAAAACATCGTCTCTTGGACCGTGATCATATCAGCATACGCAATGAGCGGTTTACCGGATAAAGCATTGGCATCATTCGAGGAAATGAAACGAGAAGGTTACAAACCAAACGCTGTGACATATCTAGCAGTTTTATCAGCTTGTAACCATGGTGGATTGATCAAGCAAGGTCTCATGATCTTCAAATCAATGGTTAAAGATCACAACAAACCTTCATTGCAGCATTACTCTTGCGTTGTAGATATGCTGAGTCGAGCTGGAGAGATTGATAAAGCGATGGAACTAATCAAGAACCTTCCAGAACACGTTAAAGCCGGAGCTAGTGCTTGGGGATCGATTCTAAGTGGTTGCAGGAACCGTTCGAAAAGTGGGATCATGACCAAGGAGGCAGTAGCTGAGGTTCTTGAGCTTGAGCCTTTGTGTTCTTCAGGGTATTTGCTGGCTTCAAGCGTGTTCGCTGCAGAGGAATCGTGGGAAGATGTAGCGAAGATGAGGAAGTTAGTGAAGGAGAGAAATGTTCGGGTCGTGGCGGGTTATAGCATGGTTCTCGAAGGATCCATGGCTAGGAGGTTTTTGGCTGGAGAGAAGCTAAACCAGAGTGATTATGAGTTAACCGACGTCGTCAAGAGTCTTCATCGATGCGCAAGGTTAGAAGACGAAGTTACTGATGGACTAAAGGCCCAATGGGCTTAGCTAAATAATTAAAATACGACTTAACGACACCGTATTTGGCCTTGGCGAAGAAGTAAAATTTCATTAAACGACGCCGTAGCGAGATTTTGTTATCCTCTGATTCGGATCGAAGAAGGAATCCGACCGACCCGACCCGGCCCGACCCGATCGAGCCACCGGTTCGAGGCGATACGTTCTCTGGAGCCGAAGTCATATGATTCTGAGTTGATTGGCCGTTCAGAGCCAACAAAAAGTCATTCTCTTCACATTTGTTATATCCCTTTCCTCAAGAAATCTACCAAAACCGACTCAAGAGTGCTTTTGAGTCTTCTCATCTTCGTTGATTTTTTTTTTCTAGGGTTAGGGCTCTTGATCGATCTCCGCGGAAAACTCTTGCGATCTTCTCTGAGCTAGGATCTAAAATTTAGAAATGGGTGGAGAAGGAGAAAGCCAGCCGCTGACTGCTGTTGATGGTGTTGAAGGAGGAGAAGGAGGAGGAGGAGCTGTGGCCGTGAACGTCAGGTGCTCGAATGGATCGAAATTTAGTGTGAGTACGAGTCTCGATTCGACGGTGGAGTCTTTCAAAGAGTTGGTGGCGGAGAAGAGCGATGTGCCAGCTAATCAGCAGCGTTTGATTTATAAGGGTCGGATCCTTAAAGACGATCAGTCTCTCCTCAGCTATGGTAATGTTTTCTGATTTCGAGATTCCTTGTCTCCTTTGGATTTAATTGATTGAAAATCTCGTAGGGTTTCTCCGTTGGAAATATCAAATTAGTATTCTGGCGATTTCTTAGCTTTTTTTGATGGTTGTTTAGCTAGATACCATGTTCTTGCTATATTGTTTGTGATATGTTTTACATCTTTGGATAGTCAAATGGTTTGCTGTGATCTGATTTTCTTGCATTCTCTGTGGAATTTTGTTGTATCTAGGTTTGCAGGCTGATCACACCGTTCATATGGTTCGAGGCTCTGCGCCTTCTTCAACACCTCCTTCTGCTCCGGCTGCAAATGCTGGAAACCAAACCACTGCACCTAATGTTACTCGAGGGGTTGGTTCAAATGATAGCTCAAATCCTCTCGGTGGGGAATCTTTGTTCCCTGGGCTTGGATTCAATCCTTTGGGTGGTGGGAATGCTATGGCTGGGTTATTCGGAGCTGGTCTTCCAGATCTTGAGCAGGCACAGCAGCAACTAGCTCAAAACCCTAATATGATTAGAGATATGATGAATACACCAGCCATTCAGAACCTTATGAACAACCCAGAATTTATGAGGAGTATGATTATGAGTAACCCGCAAATGCGTGAGCTCGTAGATCGCAACCCTGAGCTTGGTCATGTGCTCAATGACCCAAGCATCCTTAGGCAAACCTTAGAAGCCGCGAGAAACCCGGAGCTTATGCGTGAAATGATGCGGAATACTGACAGGGCCATGAGTAATATTGAATCTATGCCTGAGGGATTTAACCATCTGAGGCGTATGTATGAAAATGTTCAGGAACCATTGTTGAATGCTACTACTATGTCCGGGAATGCTGGAAACAATACGGCTTCTAATCCTTTTGCTGCTCTCCTGGGAAACCAGGGGGTTACTACACAAGGTACCGATGCTTCGAATAATTCTTCGACAACGAATGCTGAAACGGGAACAGTGAATAGTATCCCAAATGCAAATCCACTTCCTAATCCTTGGGGAGCTACGGCTGGTAAGAAGAACCTGCATTTTCATCCTCTTAATTTCCTGCGAGATTTCTCGTCTTTTGACGGATGCGATAATATCTTTTAAGTTCAGAGTGGCTTGTTAATAAGAAATGGAAGTTTTATGTATACCATTGGTTTAGGAGCAATATTGTGTATAATAAATTGGCGAGTAGTTCATGTCAGTCTCAAAATTTGTTGTTATGAGTAGTTTGTGTATGCATAATTTTCTTGGCTGCTTGTTTCTAATTTTACTTTTACTAAACATTATTGACAGGCCAGACAAATGCCCCTGGAAGGACAAACTCTGGTGGGGATGCGAGAAGCCCTGGACTTGGTGGTCTTGGTGCCCTTGGTGGTCTTGGAGGCCTTGGTGGACTTGGTATGCTTGGAGCGGATTCACCTCTTGGTGCCACTCCAGATGCTTCGCAATTGACCCAGATATTGCAAAATCCAGCCATGTCGCAGATGATGCAAAGCATGCTTTCCAATCCGCAATACATGAACCAGGTTACACATAGATTAGTCTGAACTTAAGACATTGCTGCAATGCTGCTATAGTGAGCATATTTTTAATGTTTTCCCTTGGTTCCAGCTTATCAGTCTCAACCCACAACTCCGAACCATGCTAGACGCGAATCCTCAGTTGAGAGAAATGATGCAGAATCCAGACTTCCTTCGTCAGTTTAGCTCTCCGGAGATGATGCAGGTCAGTTTGGCTTCTGTTGTCTTTAAGCATTTAAATTTTGACATGTGGTCTCTCCAAAGAAACATTTCTGTATCTCTAAGAATGTTGAAGTTTCTTCACCCTAATGTGATGAATGTTTTTTTTTTGGTCTTTAGCAAATGATGACTCTACAGCAATCACTTCTCTCTCAGAATAGGAATACGACCACCCAGTAAGTGTGGATACCCTTCACTGTTTTGTTTTGTTTAATCATAGTTGAGCAGTAACAAGTCCTTTGTATATCTTAACTGTAATTTGGGTCGTATTGTGTTTAGACAATAATGTGACTAGCTCTAAACATATAATTCCATTGGTGGTGAATGCAAGAAATGGATTGAATCTTGAGTATTGCAGCATCTCTTGCATCTTTAACTGGGCTGATCATTTGTAACCTCTTTCAAGGGCTGTAAAGTATTTTAATCGTCAAATAAACTTGAATAGAAACATAAACATTATTGTTTCGTTTTAGTTCTCTTTTGGCGTAAGCGTTGATCTCTCTTTTATTTTATTTTTTTCCATCAATCCGTACTTATGTTCCCAATCCATCTTCTCTGTAGGGAGCCGGGGCAGACTGGTGGTGCTGCTGCTGCAGGTACGCTTAAAAGGCTTTAGTTACTTTCTATTAGTAAAGTAGTCGCCTTTTTGTACTCTTTGCTTTCATACATGTTTAATTTTAGCACATATATTTTCAATTTAGCTTAATGAGTAAAATCATTACGATGGTAATGTTTATAGGGACAGGCAATAACATGGGGCTGGATTTGTTGATGAATATGTTTGGCAGTCTCGGTGCTGGCGGCCTGAGTGGCACGAACCAATCCAACGGTGAGATTCACAGGGAATATACTTTTTGTTTGGTTGCTTATGTAACTATCTGTTGACTGGAAAATTTAATTTCACAGTTCCTCCTGAGGAACGCTACGCGACTCAGTTGCAACAGCTACAAGAAATGGGGTTCTATGACAGAGCAGAGAACATAAGGGCTTTGCTTGCAACCAATGGAAACGTTAATGCTGCTGTAGAACGACTCTTGGGGAGTATTGGCCAGTAGCCAGGTTCGTTAACTGATGTCTCAGTTATAGAATAAACAGCCTTGAAATGTGTCTCAGTAATGATGATATTATAATTTATATTTATGGTGATAGGATCGTGAACTTGTGGATAGAAAAACCGCATCAATACGGTAATTTGTGGTCACATCTTCTTTCTCTTTACCCATCCCCAAAACCTTTTTTTTAATGTAATTTGGGTCGTCGTCGTCGTTTAACTTTCAGATTTTATTTGAATTGTTACAACATACATCTGTAAGAGCTTGTTTCTGAACGTGGAATGGCTACATTTACGTTTATCTTATAGTTTTTCGTTGTGCTGTGTGTATTAATGGCTTGAGATCAACCAAAAAAGATTTTGATGCATTTTAGTGGAGACAGTAAATCAAACTGAAATCGATGAATCAAACAACAAAAAGTTTGGTTTTGATTCAGCTTGATTCCTTTCACTTGGAACTAAACCGTGCCCGGTTCAAAGTTCAAATCAAACCGTGCCCAATTGCACTTCATCTCAAGTAATAAAAATGTTTTTTTTTTAAGTATTAAAAATGTAAATCCGAGAAAATAGGGGCTTAAACGAATGAGAAAAAACAATTCGACAAGTAACTGCCAAGAAACCGTTAAGCGATAAGCGACTCCACGAATCAAAACTTAAGTCCCTCTTCTACATAACCAACCATAACTCCCACTCTTCCACTTTTTTTTTCTTTTCTTTTCTTCTTCATCTTCTTCTTCTTTCCTTAATTCTCTCTAAGACTTGCAATAATGACGAACACTTCAGATTCCGATCCCAACTTCAATATCCCATTTGCTCCATCGAATGTTATTCTTCCGAGTTACAATCAAAACCCAAGAAGAAAACGCACCAAACTCTCCAATAACGAAACCGGTTCTTCATCTTCTTCTTCATCAAGGCCTAAACCAGTCAAGAAACCAGACCCTAATGCTCCCAAAATCACAAGACCATGCACCGAATGTGGTAGACAGTTCTGGTCAATGAAAGCACTCTTCGGACACATGAGATGTCACCCTGAGCGTCAATGGCGTGGCATCAACCCTCCTCCTAACCACCAACGAACCGCCACGTCATCATCATCGTTGGCTTCGGTTGCATCGGAGGAAGATCATAACATTGCCTCTACTTTACTGATGTTGGCTAATGGCTCGATGACCGGTTCAAGTGGAGCAGTGGAGGCACGGTTCGAGTGTGGTGTTTGTAAGAAAGTGTTTGGATCACATCAAGCGTTGGGTGGACACAGAGCAACACATAAACATGTTAAAGGATGTTTCGCCATTACAAACTTAACCGAAGAAGATCCTGTTCCTCTCTCTCCTCCTCCTCATCATCATCATCATCAAGAGACCGTTGATCAAGATCATAAGAGCAAGAGTCATGTGAAGTTTGTCTCAGGGATTAATCATCGATATAACATCTGTTCTAGAGTGTTTTCGAGTGGGCAAGCTTTAGGTGGTCACATGAGATGTCACTGGGAGAAAGATCAAGAGGAGAAGAACCAAGATTCGACTGTTATCGATCTCAATGTTCCTCCTGCAATGAACTTGCCCTCTTCTTCTTCAGACACATTGTCAGAATGCTCTTTAGATCTTAGGTTAGGACTTTGATAAGATATAACATATGTATATTTAATTTATAGGGGTGTTATTGGTTTCTTTCTCTGAACAAAACTCTCTATTTATGTGTGTGATGATTTGTAAGATGAAGTTATAGGATTGGGGTATTGTAATTTATATAAAATTAATTCGTTGATGAAGTTGCATAAAGTATTATGTGTTCTATATTATTCAATTCATTTTCATTTGCATTAAGTTGTTTGTATATGTGTTATCCTATGCCATTTTTCTCATTATAAAAAACCAGATGTGTATATGATTATGACAGAGAATTCACCATTCTTACTTAATAGAAAAAAGAAATAGTGCGATGAAGAAGATACTACAAACAAAAGGACATGCTTCAATACAAGACCAGCAACTACTTGACACACACGGAACGACCAAACTCAAAACTGAAAATATCTTATCGGTTTCTACGCTTAGTCCAGACCAATGATCTTGACGAGCCACTCTGTCTTGCAAGAAGCAATGACTTGTGCTATTGTCAATCCAAGAATCAATCCAGGTCCATACCCTACTGCCACTGCTTTCCAGTTCAACACCTCTTCCTCTTCTTCCTTAGGTAGTTGCGTTGGTGGCGCATCAGTCTCAAAGCAACGTTCCTCGAGAGGAAGACCACAAAGCCCTGCATTCCCTTCAAAAGATGATTTAGGCTGGCCAGTAATCTGTGTTCCTTGTGGTATTTCACCCTTGAGTTGGTTATGAGACACATTTACGTAAGCCAAAAAGGAGAGGGTCCCTAGTCCATTAGGAATAGTCCCTGAGAGTTGGTTTCTTGACAGGTCCAATGACTCGAGCTTCACAAAATTGGCAAAAGACAGAGGAATTGAGCCTGTGAAAGAGTTGTTCGATAAGTTGAGTGCAACCAGTGCCTTCAAGAGACCAATGGATTCAGGAATCTGTCCTTGGATTTTGATTCCAGAAAAATCAATGGCGCTGTAGAAAGTGAGGACGTTCGCTTGCTCCATGTGTAGACCTTTGTATTTCAAATCTATATGATCCATATACCTATAGGAAAACAAACCGTAAGGTCTCTTCTCGTATAGCATATATAGACCCCCATCTTCATTCATCGATGATTTCCAGTTTAAGAAGTAACTCGGTGGCAAGTTTCCAGTAAACTGATTATCAGATATCTCAAGAATCCGCAGCTCTGAAAACCCGAGAGGACCTTGATGAGGAGGAGATATAGGACCATAGAATTTGTTTGAACCGAGGATAAGGGCTTGCAAATTTGGTAAAGCCTTGAGCCAGAAAGGAAACGTGTCTTGGATTCTGTTGTTGTCAACGCTTAGAAACATTAGAGAGGAGCAATTAAGAAGAGACTTTGGAAGCTTCCCGGTTAGTTGATTGTAGCCAACGTTGAGTGTTTGTATAGAGGCATCAGCATAGAACACGTCAGGGATACTTCCTTCCAAGTTGTTTTTACGGAGATCCACAACCGTGAAGTTACTTAGACATTGAGGAATTAGACCGGTGAAGTTGTTGTAGGATAGATCAAGGATAGAGAGCGAGCTTCTGTTGCAGATTGAGAGAGGTATCTCCCCTGTGAAACTGTTAGCACCGGCAAACAAGACGTTGGTAGAGTGTGGTAGGTGAGGAAGTGATCCTTGAAATCTGTTTGAATCAAGAATCAGTATCTTCACTGAAGAATTCACTAAAACGTCTGTGGAGCCTTGGAAACCGTTGAAATAATTATCAAACATATCCACCGTTCTTAGACGAGGAAGCTTCCATAAGCCACTCAGGGACTTTCCCTTTGATTCTGTTGTTAGATATGATTACATCCTCCAAGTTATGAAGAGTCTTTAAGATGTTTGGGAACTCTCTGATGCCACACGGCCTCAAGAACAATGTTCCCAAGGTCAATGGGATGTATGAATCTGAACTTAAACTGGTCGGAGATATACTGTTACCAGAAAGATCGAGGTACGACAAAGATTTGAGTGAGGAGAAGAGCCTTAGGTCAATAGGGTAGCTCATGTTTAGGAAAGATAAGTCAACATTTGTCAGGGTAATGAGCTTTGAGATAGGCTCTAATAGTTTTCCTGTAAAAAGGTTGTTCCCAAGGAAAAGGAACTGGAGTCTATATGAAGTAGAGGAGTTAGGAACTTCAATAGAACCGGCCACGGTGAGATAGTTTTCACTCAGATCAAGATATGATAAGTAAGGCATAGTGAGGAGAGAAGAAGGAATTGTGTCAGTGAAGTGGTTTTTAGAAAGTTGTAAAACAGAGAGCTTGGTTAGATTTTGTACAAGTGGGAAGCTACTATTGAGCTTGTTTTCATCAAGCTGCAACTCGGTTAGCCTGGTTAGATTACTAATTGTGGGAGGAACTTGACCAAAGAAGCCATTAGAGGTAAGATACAATCCCTCTAATCTATAAAGATTGCCAAACTCGGAAGGGAGTGAGGAACTGAAGTTGTTGTAACTAAAATGAACCCAATATTAATAAGCATTTGGACTTGTAATATTGAGTTTGTGTGTGAATAAGAAATGAAGTTTAATAAGCAAATGAGTCTTATAAATTCATTTGAGATTTGGGTTTGAGCCTATGGAAATGAAATGTTCCTATTGGCTATAACTAAAAGTGGAAGTTTAGTGAAAGTGTATTTGTCCCACATTGCTCACAAAGGAGAAAAATCTCTTGTATAAATATATGACCTTCTCACAATAAGGGTCAACAGCATTGTGGAAGTAAAAGAGCATTATGCAAAAACACCTATGCGCGCCGCCGCCGCCGGTGCCGGGCTCGTTGCTCATCGCATTTTTTAATTGGCTCTTAGGGCTCTTGGGCTCTTGGGCTCTATATAGCTGGGTGTGGGTCGTGGGCTTCTTAGTTCCTGCGAAATATTTTTTGCATATTGAAAGGATAAATCTTAGGAAATAAAAGATTGCGTCCAGATAATAACGGAAGATTTCCGAATCTTTTTACTCGCGGAAATAGGAGAATATCTCGTAATATTCCTTTTCGCAAAAGCTTATTCCTTGTGGATCAAGCTGAACCTTCCAGTATAAATAGACGTCCTCTTCTCTCATTCTAGATCATCGAATTAAGAATCGAATTTTCGAATACTCCAAACACACAGCAAATCCCTCTCGTCTTGATATCGTAAGTGTCTCGAGAGTTATAGCGTAGTATTTTAGTTCGCAGATTCTATTACGGGTGTTGCGTAATAGTCTCATCACGGTTGTATCCTGGGATTCAAAAATCGCAACAAACTATCACAAATTACGGGCGATTTATTGAGTTAAGGAAAGAGATCATATCTCGACTCCGTGTTTTCGTCTGTTTTCAATCGGTTTTCAAACTCTCGTTTTAATCTCTTACCTTAACATATCGTTTATAATATTGCTATTTTCTATTCGTGATTTCAATCGGATTTTTGCGGTCTTACAATCTTAACTCAATAAATCCGCTTCCTGCTTATTGCTTGAATCGGATTGAATTTTGCGAAACAGTTCTTATAAACGGTTTTTGAGAAAAAGAGTTTTTAAAATCGATCTACAAAGTGTCTGCGAAAGTTTCTTAGCTATTTCGTAGAACTTTTGATCTGTTAAAGACGAATCTTCTGAAACGGTTTATGCGGCAGTCTTAGACAAGCCCGCAAAACGTGTTAAGGTTTAAGAACGTCATCAAAAGACGATTCTGGGAACACCTATTTTCGAGTTCTAAGAATACCTATTGGTAATATCTGTGGAAACTCAAAGCGAATCCTTTTCGGAAAAACGCTGTTCATAGCGACTTAAACGTTTTAATCGCTGATTTGAATCTTGGTTCTCAATACTAACTTCGGTTATCTTCTGTGAACAGATTCAACTATGACTGATGGTGATGTCAACATGACTACCAATGGAAGCTCGGGTGAAGTCAGGATGCCAGCGTCGGTAACCGCAGGACTTCAGCCCGACAAGTTTGATGGTTCGAACTTCAAGCAGTGGCAAGAAAGGATGCACTTCTTTCTGTCGTCAATGCAGCTGAGCAAGTACCTCACAGAGGATCCCCCAACAGTTCCAGACGGAAACAAAGATGTTACGATTCTGGCTACCGTTGAAGCATGGAAGCACTCAGACTTTCTATGCAAAGGGCACATCAAAAATCGCCTGGTGGACCAGCTGTTCGATGTGTACAGTGAGGTCAAAACTTCCAAAGAACTTTGGGATGCTTTGGAAAAGAAGTACAAGTCGTACAATGTCGGCTCTGGGAAATTCGCTACAGCGAAACTCCTCAAGTTTGAGATGGTGGATTCTCGTCCCATCATGCCACAAGTGCACGAGCTGGAACTAATCTTTCAAGAGATTAGGACTGAAGGAATGAAGCTATGTGAGACATTCACGGTGAACTGCTTCATTGAGAAGTTACCTCCAAGTTGGGCAGACTTCCAGAACTATCTTGCTTACAAGCAAAAGGCCCTGTCTCTGGCAAATCTGATCTCCAGATTGCAGAATGAGTCACTAAAACGTGACAAAGTTGGAAAAGAAGATGGTCAGATCATGACCCATGATGCAAACGTGGCTGAGTACAGAAAAAAGGGCAAAGGCAAACCATCCAACAAGGCTGTGCCTAACAAGTTTCCTCCACGAAACAACACTAGCTTCAAGAAGCAAGGTCAAGCACCCATGAAAAACAAGTTCAATGGGAAGTGCAACTACTGCAACAAGCTTGGACATAAGTCTTCAGAGTGTCGCCGAAAGGCTAAGTCTGAGAACAACCAAGCTCACTTGACTGAAGTAGACCTGTGTGCAATGGTTACAGAGGCTAACTTGGTGGAAGAGAACCCCAAGGCGTGGTGGTATGACACAGGTGCAACCACACACATCTGTATTGACAGAGAAATGTTCAGTACCTATCAGAAGTGCAAGACTGATGATCAATTGAAGATGGGAAACGTCTCCCAGTCCAAGATTGAAGGTACTGGAAAAGTTGTGTTGAAGATGACTTCAGGCATGGAAGTTACTCTCAACAACGTGAAGCATGTTCCAGACATGAGGAAGAACCTGATCTCTGGTATTCTAATGAGCAAGCATGGTTTTGCAATCAACTTTGAGTCTGACCAGCTGATACTTAGGAAGAATGGTGTTTTCATAGGAAAAAGTTATGTTAAGTCAGGATTGATCAAAATGTCTGTAATGACAATCCTGAAGAAAAACAAAGTTGTACCTGATTCCAAAGATTTAATTAATAAGAATCCAGTTGCTTATGTGGTTGAGTCTTCTAATATTTGGCATGAACGTTTGGGACATGTTAATTACAAGTCTATTCAAAGACTGATGAATTTGAACATGATTCCAAAGTGCAAAATTAGCAAAGACAAATGTGAAATTTGTGTCCAAGCAAAGCTCACGAAAACACCATCACCTCATGTTGAACGAACTACCGAACCTCTTGGGTTAATCCACACTGATCTGTGCGATTTAAAATATCTACCATCAAGAGGTGGTAAAAAGTATTTTGTGACTTTCATTGATGATTGTACAAGGTACTGTTACATGTATTTGCTGCGTAGTAAAGATGAAGTCTTGGACAAATTCAAAGAGTACAAACTCGAAGTTGAAAAGCAACTGGCAAAGACCATCAAAATGGTCAGAAGTGATAGGGGTGGAGAATATGATGGACCTTTCAATGAGTTTTGCCTGATAAACGGAATCATCCATCAAACTACAGCCCCCTATTCACCTGAATCCAATGGAGCTGCAGAAAGAAAGAATCGAACTCTGAAGGAGATGATGAATGCAATTGCAGGAATCTGGGACACCCCAGAATCTGTGGGGGGAAGCACTGCTCACCACAAATTATATCCTCAACAAAATACCTCATAAGGTAACTGGCAAAACACCGTATGAACTTTGGAAAGGTAATGTATCTTCGTACAAATACCTGAAAGTGTGGGGGTGCTTAGCAAAAGTCGCAGTGCCACCTCCAAAGAAGGTCAAAATTGGACCTAAGACTGTGGACTGTATCTTTATCGGATATGCTCACAATAGTAGTGCTTATCGATTTCTGGTACATAAGTCAGATGTATCAGATGTTCAAGTGAATACTATCATGGAATCAAGGAATGCTTCTTTCTTTGAACACATATTTCCATATAGGGATAAGCAAACTACTAAACGCACTCGTGAAGAAAGAGATGTGACTACTTCTGTAAATGAGATGGAAGTAGAACAGGTTGAAGATGAACCTAGACGAAGCAAAAGAGCTCGTAAGGAAAAATCTTTTGGTGAAGATTTCATGATGGTCTTTCTTGTCGAGAATGAACCGAGATCTTACACTGAAGCCATGTCTACACCAGAAGCTCCATATTGGAAGGATGCTGTCAATAGTGAGATGAGTTCTATAATGCAGAATCATACTTATGAGATAACTGACTTACCTCAAGGGTTCAAAGCACTAGGGTGTAAATGGATCTTCAAGACCAAGCTGAAAGCTGATGGTTCTATAGATAAGTACAAGGCACGCCTTGTGGTGCAAGGATTCAGACAAAAAGAAGGTCTAGATTTCTTTGACACCTATTCTCCAGTTACGAGAATAACTTCGATCAGAATATTGATTGGCGTAGCAGCCTTGCGAGGCTTGGAAATCTATCAGATGGATGTTAAAACTGCCTTTCTAAATGGTGATTTAGAAGAAGAAATATACATGAAACAACCCGAAGGTTTCGAGGTTAAGGGTCAAGAGCACAAAGTGTGTAGACTCGTGAAATCATTGTATGGACTGAAACAAGCTCCAAAACAATGGCACAAAAAGTTTGACAATGTGATGATGTCAAATGGTTTCAGCATTAACGAATGTGATAAATGTATCTACTACAAATGTACTCCAAACGGATACATCTTACTATGTCTGTATGTAGATGACATGCTGATTATTGGCAGTAACAAAGATATCATTCAACAAACCAAGAACATGCTCAATGGAAAATTTGACATGAAAGACATGGGACTTGCAGATGTCATTCTTGGGATTAAGATCATTCGAACTTCAGATGGAATTACTCTGTCTCAAGATCACTATGCTGAAAAGATCCTAGAGAGGTTTAAGACCTACTCGAATGGAACCGCAAAAACTCCAATGGATATGCAAGTTCACCTAACCAAGAACACAGGTGAACCAGTATCACAGGTGGAGTATGCACGGGTAATTAGAAGTCTGATGTACTTGACCAATTGTACAAGACCCGATCTAGCGCATGCGGTAAACGTGTTAAGTCGCTACACAAGTAATCCAGGTCATACTCATTGGAAAGCAATAACTAGAGTGTTGAACTATTTGCGATACACTAAGAGTTATGGGCTACACTTTGGTAAAGAACCATCAGTGTTAGAAGGGTATAGTGATGCCAATTGGATTTCAGATTCTAGAAATTCCAAATCCACAAGTGGATATGTCTTCACACTCGCTGGAGCAGCAGTATCCTGGAAATCTTCCAAACAGACACTCCTGGCCCGATCAACCATGGAGTCAGAGTTCATAGCTTTAGACAAAGCAGCCGAAGAAGCAGAATGGCTTCGGAACTTCCTGGAAGATATCCCGATGTGGGAAAAACTAGTGCCAGCATTACGTGTACACTGTGATAGTCAGTCGGCTATTTCTCGGGCACTGAATAATCTGTATAATGGCAAGTCTCGTCACATACGAAGACGACATAAGACCATTAGGCATCTGATCTCAAGTGGTGTACTCACGGTTGATTACATCAAGTCAGCGGAAAATTTAGCGGATCCATTCACCAAAAGCTTGCCGCGAGATCAAATCATTAAATCATCTAAGGGAATGGGCTTATTGCCTATCACAAAAGAGGATGTTTGATGGAAACCCCACCTACGCGATTGGAGATCCCAAGAGCTTGGTTCAAAGGGACAACTAAATCAAGCAGAATCTGAGAAAAGCACTGAAAAATGCTCAATTTCCATGATGATAAACAGTGCTTCCTGTAATTATGTAAGGTTAAGCTTTATGGCTTTTAATGAGATAAGACCATAGCCTTCATATACATGTATATAGAGTATAACAGGATACTTTCTGTGTATGTGACAGGTACTTGGCAATAACCTAGTGAGTGTGAAATGAGGCCGTTTCTAGGAGAACGAAGACAAGGCTATACTCTCCAAGTTCACTCATGATAAACCAGGCACGTTCAAGGCCACAATGAACACAATAGAGAACTGAATGCTACGAGAAGACAAAGCTGGGTTGTATCTGTTGATTTGGTTTACACCAAAATCCGGGTGGTTCACTTCCTGAAGAGTAAATCCGACAGATATTAACAATGAGTGGTTCAAGGCTGAAAAACGCTTCTTCCTCAGACACAGTTAGTTTTCGCTTATACTCTCGAAAAGTCCGTCTGTCGAGTCAGTAGTCTAGTTTGAGTCTAGTCTGCATAGTCTATCGAGTCTGCATATGTATAGAGTCATTTCTATTCATGTGGGGGATTGTTGGAACCCAATATTAATAAGCATTTGGACTTGTAATATTGAGTTTGTGTGTGAATAAGAAATGAAGTTTAATAAGCAAATGGGCCTTATAAATTCATTTGAGATTTGGGTTTGAGCCTATGGAAATGAAATGTTCCTATTGGCTATAACTAAAAGTGGAAGTTTAGTGGAAGTGTATTTGTCCCACATTGCTCACAAAGGAGAAAAATCTCTTGTATAAATATGACCTTCTCACAATAAGGGTCAACAGCATTGTGGAAGTAAAAGGGCATTATGCAAAAACACCTACGCGCGCCGCCGCCGTCGCCGTCGCCGGTGCCGGTGCCGGTGCCGGTGCCGGGCTCGGGCTCGTTGCATTTTTTAATTGGCTCTTAGGGCTCTTCCTGCGAAATATTTTTTGCATATTGAAGGATAAATCTTAGGAAATAAAAGATTGCGTCCAGATAATAACGGAAGATTTCCGAATCCTTTTACTCGCGGAAATAGAAGAATATCTCGTAATATTCCTTTTCGCAAAAGCTTATTCCTTGTGGATCAAGCTGAACCTTCCAGTATAAATAGACGCCCTCTTCTCTCATTCTAGATCATCGATTTAAGAATCGAATTTTCGAATATTCCAAACACACAGCAAATCCCTCTTGTCTTAATATCGTAAGTGTCTCGAGAGTTATAGCGTAGTATTTTAGTTCGCAGATTCTATTACGGGTGTTGCGTAATAGTCTCATCACGGTTGTATCCTGGGATTCAAAAATCGCAACAAACCGTCACACATTACGGGCGATTTATTGAGTTAAGGAAAGAGATCATATCTCGAGTCCGTGTTTTCGTCTGTTTTCAATCGGTTTTCAAACTCTCGTTTTAATCTCTTACCTTAACATATCGTTTATAATATTGCTATTTTCTATTCGTGATTTCAATCGGATTTTCGCGGTCTTACAGATCAAGGTAACGGAGTTGGTTTAACTCAAAGATGCTACTGTAGGGATTCAGAGTTCCAGAGAAGTGATTATGAGAAAGGTCTAAAAGTGTAAGCTTGGTTAGATTCCGCACAAGTGGGAAACTACCAGTGAGCTCGTTTTGGGAAAAGTCTACGTAGGAAAGGAGGCTTAGGTTATTAAATGGGAAAGGAACTTGGCCAAGGAAGCCATTTGAAGAAACGGACAAGACCTCTAACCTGTTTAGATTGCCAAATTCGGAAGGAAGTGAAGAGGAGATGAAGTTATTGTGACTAAGATCAAGGTAACGGAGCTGACTAAATCCAAAGAGGCTACTGTTGGACTTCAGAATTCCACTGAGGCAGGCCCTTAGCTGTAGCTTTGTGATTGCACCCGTCGAGTTATCGCACCAGACTCCATTAAAGGTGTCACTATGGTTGCAATGGCTGGTATCAAACTCGTTCTTGAACAACGTAAAGGCTTGAACCTGGTGGGGACGGCAAGCGACAAGGCCAACAACAGGGTTTTTAAAAAGGAATACGCTTGATGAGGAGTAGGAGACACAACAGAATAAGAGTAGCGAGAGTAACCGTGCAACTGACATGATCGTAATGAAATTTTTTATAAGAAGAATGATTTTGGTTTAAGAAAAGTGAGAGAGAAGAGGATTAGTACCTAAGTATAAGTAAAGAAGAGTATGTGGTTTTGAATTGGAGTGTATGTCACGACCCACACAACATGACTTAGAGCCACTCAAAGTTGATGTCTAAGAACCACTCAAATCAGTAAATTCCACGTCAAATTTTTTTTTCTAACGTATAACTTGGATTGAAATCACATCAGTTTGAATGTTCTCACATAGTGGAATTAGTCAATACCCTTAGTACTTTGCAAACTAACAAAATTTAAATACGATTAATTGTAATCCTGCTGGAAATTAGAACAGAATAGAGAAGCTACATTTGTTTTGGGGCATGAGCAGATAAAGATATGGCAGAAATAAGATAAACAAGTGGGTTACTAGATTCTACAACTATTTATAATTTATTAAATTTTATAATATAATTTCTTTTTTTATTTAGATATATTTTCCTAATAACTGATATATATATATTTTTCTGTTTATATATAACTAGTTTAGGATCCGTGCACGCACGGGTTTAATTCATTAGTAATTTCTGCTTGAATTTTAAATATTTGTTTCAAATATTATTATTCTGGCTTATTAAATCACATATTGTTCGTGTTTATCATACCTCTTTTTTTAATGTTCTATATTTTTAATATCTAAATTTAAATTATGGCTAAATACGTTATTTTTGAGTTAAATAAGGACCAATATAGTTCTTATAGAAAGCAAGTGAAAATTAAAAACAAATACAGTTGTTATGGGTTTTTCTAGTTGGGGAAGTCTTTTTTTTTAATAAACCCAATAATTGAAAGTAGTCCAAATCATTAATAAATAATATAATTGGGCAGCATTAAAAAGAGTAAGTCGCAATATAATAAGATTCAGACTTCAATTCGTGGTTTTTTCTTGAGATTGCCAGTTGGTTCTTCCTGCTCTTCGTGATTGCTTTCACAATTCTTGTCGTTCGAAATTGGCTGAAGAATTGAAGACAAACAACCAAGAAAACAAATGTTAAGTTAACTAATATATTCTTAATATAATAACGCAAGCAAAAGTTGGCATATTTTATTATATGTATCTTTATGTGGTTGAGAATCTTTGATACTGTGAAACTCTGATATGATCCTTCAAAATCTTTTTTCTTAATTTTTATTTCGAATAAATAAGTTTCACCTACGATAGATTGTACACTTCTGGGAATGTGGCCCAATTCTTGTTCGCTGGAGTTTCTTTTGATCTGTATCAAAATTAGCTCAACTATTAGATAAAATTTAAATCAACATAAATATAATATATGTGCATAATGTATCATTCTTACGGATTCTGCCGTTGTTCCAGTGATTTTAGCACCATCTTCATCAAATATGACAAAAGTTGCAGAATCTTCTCCATCATCTACTATTACTTCAATTCTGAAACTGGAAGATAAATAATGGGTTAGTATCTACAAAACTTAATGATAGTAAAACTTTAAATATCATAATAATACTGTCAATAATACCTCAGCAATCCTACGGCTTGTGATTTACCACATTTTTGGCAAGAAAGTGATGATCCTGACTTTGTCAACTTTGTTGAGCAACTTGAACAGGATATGTAATTCCAACCTTTACGTGACACAATCTCGGTAATAGTTGCCTTGCAAACAAATTTTTTATCCTGCAATTAATAAGGTTGAAAATATTTCAGAATTATCTTAGTATCACTAAGATTTAATAAGATATGCAATAAATTATCAATTGAATGTAGTTGCATTACCTGAGGGACATCAGATGAGATAAAATCCCAAAGATCATTAATTGAATGTTGGGCTTCAGAATCTTTATTATCAATTGATTGTTCTTCAGCCATGTCGCCTAAATTAACAATACACCCTCCATCGTATTTGAAGCTAAAGAGATACAATGATTTTAATTAGTTAAATAAATTGAGTATCAACAAATTAGTAATTTTGAAACTAAAAAAAAACAACAAATATACCTTTTTCGAAACGCAGTAGCAGAATCAAAATCATGATTCAAATAGAATTTGGTTCCAGAAGATGCTGACAGACTAATTGCACCTTGATACGTCTTAATCAAAACACTTGTCATGATGAGAACAATGTTATCACTTTCCATCCCACGATATTTATCTTCCAATTGTTCTGCTTGTTCTGCCCATATTGTTGCTGGTATTTCTGTTCCACTGTTAATTCATTTAAAAAGACGAACAAATAAGAGACAAACACAAAACAATAGTTGTCGTTAAAAGTATTATAAGAGTGTAATCTAAAAAAAAAAAATAAACTTACCCTTCTAACAATATAGTCAGAGTAACCCTTCTTAGGTTGACTGTTGTTTGACTACGAACATCTGCTTTGTCCATATTTTTGATATAGCCGATTACATCTACATTATAAAAAAATCAAAAACACATATAAATCTATAAATTTTAAAAAATTAAATTTAAAAAATCAAGAATGTACCGTATAAATCTTCAGATGTATCTTTCAGTTTAGCCAAATCCTCGTAATTTTAAAGTCGAAACTTTTCATGAGCTATTTGACAATATTGTTGTCCTACAGAGGCTATTTTTGTTCTCTCAGTTAATCTAATCATAAATTTATGATCAGAAACTTTGTAGTTCTTATTGCAGTCTTGGTAAGATTTCCTTCACACAATTGATCTGCAAACTTTTCCAGAAGAGAATGTGTACAGAACCTTGAATAGTATTATTCTATAGAAAAAAAATGGATTAAAGTTAGATAATAAGTTTTAAAATTAGAAAAACATATTTTTTAATTGAACAATAAAACTAACCTTCTCATCAAGTAATAGGAAATTAATTCCTATGAGCTCATTGTTTCTTTTCAGATTTCTTGCCTCCCACTTTCTGATTAGACGAACTACAGTACGACGGTAGGAGCGTTTTCTGTTTAACTGATCCAATGTCAAATACTCCCTGTTGTTGTTCAGAATTTCAGCACTCATTGTTTTTTTTTTGATATTTGATATTCCTGAAAACAATATAAAAAAAAATAATTTAGATATAAAATTATTAAATTATTATGTAGCCCTAGATAATTATGATAGCCCTAGATAATTATGATAGCAATGCATCCAACAGAGAAAATATAGTTAAGAAGACGTAGCAAAAAGATGATGATGTCTAACCAAGAATGATACGCAGATGCCTAAGAAATAGTAGTGAGAATTTTAGTTATATTGTTAGTTATATTGTTGAGAAGACGTAAAAAAAAATGCTGATGCCTAACCAAGAATTATACGCTGATGCCTAAGAAATAGTGGTGAGAATTTGAGAATTTTGGTTGTGAATTTGAGAAGCTATCAAACAGGTTTTTATAGTGGTGAGAAATTAGAATTTCTTTTCCTTTTAAAATAGTATGACCTTTTTAATTTTTTTTTTTTATAATCTTAGTTTTAGGAACTAAAGTTCTTTTTTTCATATCTTAATTGAATTTAATATGTTTGATTTCTTTTTCACGTTTTTATCCTTTATCAAAAATATATACTTTTAGTATTTCCTTTTTTAAAATTAAGATTTGTCAAAATATAATTCTAACTGAATTAAAAACGTTTTTATCCTTTTTTAATTTTTTTTTTACCTTTTAGGATAAGAACCAACTTTGAAATTAAAATTTAACTCTAATTTAATTATACATTTTTATTCTTTTTTATTTACCTTTCAAGATAGGAACCAAGATTTTTATCTTTTTCACGTTTTCATCTTTTAAAACAAATTATGATTTTTTATTTCTTTTTTGAAATTAAAATTTGTCAAAATATAAATCGTGTCATCATCTTGCGAATCTTTAAATTTAATTAAACATGTGTAAAAATCTGATCGTTTTATTTGACACGTGTCATCTTTTAAATCTTTAAATTTAATTAAACATGTGTAAAAATCTGATCGTTTTATTTGACACGTGTCATCATCTTGCGAGTTACTACGTTTCAATCATTCTCTTTTATATAATAAGATTTGTTTTTACTAATTTTTTTTTCTAGTATATATATGACCGCGATTAGAAAAATATTATTCTAACATGTCTGTTCATATTAATTTGAAAGTAAAACAATCACAAAAACGTCATTATAACATGTCAATTTATATTAATCTGAAAAGAACCAAGACTATTAATACATAATTATAACTCATTTATTCATCTTATTTGTATATTTTATATATTTTTAAAGTTTGAATATTAAAAAATTGAAACTTATTTAATGAAATATACAATAATATATTATTTTTATCTTTGTCATTAAAAATATTATTTAAATTTGAATATTTAAATTAAATCTAAATTAATATCAAATTTATTATTTTGTAAAAATATAATAATAACTAATTTTTGATTTTTGATAAATACTATAACTTATATTTAAGAAAATCTATAACAAATCTAAATTCAAATTCAAATTTAAATTTTTGAATTTATTTTAAAATATAAATTAAAATATATATTATTTTATTAATATTACATTAAATTGACTTGTTTGATAACATAAATAAGAGTTATAAAAAACAGAATAATAAAAAACTAAGCAAAATCTGTTTGGACACAAAACATATTTCTGTTTTAATAGTATATATACCAGTCATATCTAATAAAATAGTTTGTTGAAACTTTATTTCTCTGTTTGAATTTTCTTGGACTGTTTGATTCAAGAATTTATCTCAAATCAATAGGAGACCATCGATATGACCCTCTCTTCTTCAAATCAGGTTTTGAAACTTGAAACTCGATTATCTTTCCTTTTAATTATTTGTAAATCCTTTACTATTATTCTAAACTATAAACACAAATGAATTTTCTGTACATAATTTTTTTTGGTTGGGAATAGTTTTTGATTAAAAAAATAAAAGAATTTTGTGTTCTTAGAGTGAAATGACATTAATTTTGTGTTATCTTATTATATAAAAGAGAATGATTGAAACGTAGTAACTCGCAAGATGATGACACGTGTCAAATAAAACGATCAGATTTTTACACATGTTTAATTAAATAATTTAACTAGATTTATATTTTGACAAATCTTAATTTCAAAAAAGAAATAAAAAATCATAATTTTTTTTAAAAGATGAAAACGTGAAAAAGATAAAAACGTTTATAATTAAATTAAAATTATAGTTAATTTTAAAGGTGGTTCCTATCTTAAAAGGTAAATAAAAAAGGATAAAAATGTATAATTAAATTAGAGTTAAATTTTAATTTCAAAGTTGGTTCTTATCCTAAAAGGTAAAAAAAAAATTAAAAAAGGATAAAAAAGTTTTTAATTCAGTTAGAATTATATTTTGACAAATCTTAATTTTAAAAAAGGAAATACAAAAAGTATATATTTTTGATAAAGGATAAAAACGTGAAAAAGAAATCAAACATATTAAATTCAATTAAGATATGAAAAAAAAGAACTTTAGTTCTTAAAACTAAGATTATTAAAAAAAAAAAATTAAAAAGGTCATACAATTCTAAAAGGAAAAGGAATTCTAATTTCTCACCACTATAAAACCTGTTTGATAGCTTCTCAAATTCACAACCAAAATTTTCAAATTCTCACCACTATTTCTTAGGCATCAGCGTATAATTCTTGGTTAGGCATCAGCATTTTTTTTTACAGTCTTCTTAACAATATAAATAATGTTGTGAAAACTTAGAAACTTTATTAATCACTGGAATGTATATATAGAGTACATAGGGAATCTAGGTTAAGTACAATGCCCTGATGGGCCTAATGGGGCCGGGTATAAAAGTCCATATATGATATGTGTTATAACACTCCCCCTTGGACGAAGTGGACCGGGGCCAGCTACTCAATCGGGGATCTCGATAATGCGCCTGGGGGAATGTTGGCCCTCATTAAAACCTTTACCGGGGAAAAACCCGAGTGGGAACAAAACCATGGTGAAGGAAAAAGAGTACAACACGCATTACTCCCCCTGATTGTAGCATCACTGCAGATCTCTAAGTCTATACATTCCTATCTGTTTGACGAGCTTCCGGTGTGTTGAAGTAGGCAATGATTTGGTGAAGAGGTCAGCTGAATTCTCACTGGATCGGACCTGCTGAACGCTGAGAGTGCCGTCCTTCTGCCAGTCTGAGGTTGAGAAGAACTTCGGTAGAATGTGCTTCGTCCGATCTCCTTTGATATATCCTTCCTTGAGCTGAGCTATGCATGCCGCGTTGTCTTCGTACATCACCGTGGGCTGTGTGTCTTCGTCCATACTACAATCTCTGCGGATGTGCTGAGTCATGGAGCGCAGCCAGACGCATTCCCTACTAGCCTCATGAATGGCTAGGATTTCAGCATGGTTTGATGAAGTGGCAGTGAGTGTCTGCTTCATTGATCTCCAAGAGATGGCTGTTCCTCCATGCGTAAAAACGTAGCCAGTTTGAGACTTGGCAGTGTGCGGATCTGATAGATATCCTGCATCGGCGAAGCCGACTAACCCATCTTTATTTTTGTTAGTATAGAAGAGTCCTAAGTCTTGAGTACCTCGAAGGTATCTTAGGAGATGTTTTATACCGTTCCAGTGCCTCTGAGTTGGGGATGAACTATATCGAGCGAGGAGGTTCACGGCGAAACATATGTCTGGTCTAGTGTGACTAGCCAGGTACATTAACGCTCCTACAGCACTGAGGTATGACTTTTCAGGACCAAGGATTTCTTCATCATCCCTTTTGGGACCAAGAGGGTCATCACTTAACTACCATTGGGCTGGTCAATGGGTGAGCTTGGTCCATATTAAATCACTTGAGTACCTTTTCGATATAAGCCGATTGATGCACAAGGATTCCTCCTTTGATGTACTCAAGTTGTAATCCCAAACAGTACTTTGTTTTGCCTAGGTCTTTCATTTCGAATTCTGCTTTTAAGCAGTCGACTGTTTGGGAGATCTCACCAGATGTTCCGAGGATGTTTAGATCATCCACGTATACTGGTATGATTACAAATCCTTTGTTTGAGTACTTCTTGATGAAGATGCATGGACTGATGGGGTCATTTTTGTAGCCTTCTTTGATGAGGTAATCGCTGAGGCGGTTGTACCACATACGCCCACTTTGTTTCAGTCCATACAAGGATTTGTTCAGCCTGATGCAGTATTGATCTCGAGATGCATTTTTGTCTTTTAGTTCAATGCCATCTGGGAGTCTCATATATATTTCGTTGTCCAGAGGCCCATAGAGATATGCGGTTACAACATCCATTAACCGCAGATCAAGATTTTCTCTTATGGCCAGACTTATGAGGAATCGGAATGTTGTTGCATCCACCACTGGAGAATAAGTCTCCTCATAATCGATTCCGGGTCTCTGTGAGAATCCTTGTGCTACAAGCCGTGCTTTGTATCGAACGACTTCA